GTCTCGTGGCTCTTCTCAAGTGGTTTGTTGGTGTGTCTGCCCTTGATCCACTGCCCAGTGAGCTTTGTTGAGTGCTCCCAGCACAGACTGGTAGATGAGAGCATCCAGCAGTCTTGTCTTTCAGAGTCCGCTATGGAAACATCTGTTTTCTTTTTTCTATTTTCTTGTCCCCTGTGTTGCCCAATTACAAATTTGCAGGCTCTTTGACAATCAGAAGAGGAGAAAAAAGTGAAAGCACATCTGTAATGCAATTTGTAGTGTGTCCAGCCTGGTCTCTGTGCAGGAAGAGTTATGTTTTGGGTGCACATGGACATGAAGTGGCTTGGGCTGCAGCCTGTCCATCTGATTCCTTCTGAACTCTGGTTTGAGCTTTTAGCTTTATTTCTTCCATCACCTTCAGATGGGAGTTATATTTTCAGAGTGGAAGGACCCATTTTGTGACCTAACCTGTCATCTGGGAAGGTCTGTTGCTGCTTCCCAGGGGCTTGTGGACATTGTAGAGAGGCTGCTGAGCCTCACCTGACCGTATGAATTTTGTCCCTTCTGCTCTTCCACAGAGGCACCAGTGATAGTGGGAGGAGGGACCTGAAAAGTATCAAACCTGACTACATGGCTCTGGGTGATTTTCAGTGGTGTGGAGAGAGTGCAGAGCTTGGCTGAGCAGGTCCTGCAGACCAAGGCTGGGTTGTGCAACCACTGTTGGCAGCAGGGTTTTGGATTCTACAGCAAATCCCAAGCACAAACAGAGCCTGGGTGGAGAATGGATTGAGAGCAGCCCTGAGGAGAAGGACTTAGGGGTGTTGGTGGATAAGAAGCTCCACACACCCTGTCCGTGTGTGCTGGCACTCAGAAACCCCCCGTGCCCTGGGCTGATCCCACAGTGTGGGCAGCAGGGGAGGGGGGATTCTGCCCCTCTGTCCCCCCAGCTGAGCCCCCACAGGTATTGCTTTTGTCACAAGGGCAATTGCTGTCAGTGACTGAGGCTCCCAGGGATCTTCTCTTATTTTTCTCTGTAATTCTCCTTTCAGAGGGTGAGCACAGTAGGGTGTCCTCAGAACAGTGCAGTAATCCCTCCTGTGCCCATCAAAACATCTGTTCTGTGAGGCTGCAGCCATAAGCACTGCAGGGGAGGGCAGGGAGTCAGGATAAAGGAACTGAGGAGAGTTCTAGGACTCTCCTCTTAGCCCTTCCATTATTCCCCCCCACAGACTCACAAATTGGGTTATTGGAACAGTGACCCCCAACACAGTGAGAACAGCATCAGTCATGTACTAGGGAGGTAGAAAAAAATCCAAGGGGATGAGCTCAATTTCTTTTCTGTCACAGGCTAAGCTACACAAGGGGACTGATGCAGGAGAACAGAGATGGAATGAGGACAATTAGATGTTCCCCCACCTACACAGGAAGTTTTTTTTTGTTGCATTTCACAGAATATTCTGAGTTGGAAAGGACCAACAAGGATCACAGAGTCCAACTTTTAAGTGACTGGCCCACAGCAGGACTGAACCCACGACCTTGGTGTGATTGGCACCAAGTTCCACCACGATCTGTGAACTCTGCTCCGTACCAGCCCTTTTGTCTGAAGGTTTACTGGGTACATTTCTTATTTCTCTGAAGGCCTACTGCACACAAGTAAAGGTAAAGCACCAGTGAACAGAGTTAGAAAAAGCAGGGGAAAGGGCTATAATTAGTAAAGAACTAAAGATTAATCAACTGCAAAGTTCCTTTTTTCTACTGTTAAGAGGTGGCAGCCCCATGTCCCTCAAAAACCCCAACAGTGATTTCATCCTAAAGCCTTGCCAAGATTGCCACACAGAGGAGAAAGTGGCTGTTTTCTGCAATCTTCTGCAAACTGGTGATTAAAACAACAAGGAAAAAGAACATCCTGATCAGGTGATGATTAAAGAGTCTCTGGCAGAACAGGGACTATGGTCCTTGCCTGAACAGCATCAGTAGAACTTCTTTCATCTAGAAGATATTACCCTAAACCAGAGGTTTGAGAACAAGATCAAAACTGTTCCCACACATGCAGGGAGTGTCAGGGTCAACCATTACTCAGGACATGCCAGGTCATGTCAGTCAGTAATGGTCTCCCCCAGCTCAGGTGTGGTCACTGTGGGATACTGGAGTGACAGGCAAAGGAAAAGCATCTGTCTCATGAAACCATGCTCCTGTCTGCTGCTTGCCACAGCCATCCTCAGCTTTGGCATGTCCACCTTGGATCATGAACCCATCTATTCTCAAGGTAAAAGTCTCTGCTGTTAACACTGGTGAGCAGCCCCTCCTGCCTGCACCCCACAACAAGCATCTACCACTGTGACAGAGGAGGTTTTCTGCCATTACCAAAGATAAGCCAAAAATAACAGAATATTCATTCAGCTTTTATAAATAAATAAATAAATAAGATCAGAGTCAAATTTACACACAATTTAGGCCAACCAATGGGAATTTTCATCTTGAACACCCTGAAAAATAGAAAATAGTCCCTTATAAGCATGTAGAGCTAATATAAAGGTCTAATGATGTAGACAGAATGGTACACTGATACCACTGGACTACGTTTAACTGTGCTTCTAAACAGAAGTTGCTTTGGGGTTTGTTTGGGTTTTGTGGAGTTTGGAGGGTTTATTGTTAATTAATATCTTATTTCACACTAAGCCTAATCATTTTATGAATGGAAATTCCAACAGCTAATAAGGAAACCGAATTGTCAGCAGAAAATCCAGTTTACTAAATTGGTCACAAAAGCTAAAGGACAAGATTCTCCCATTCCAGTAAAACCAAAATCTGACAGCCATCTGAAATCTTACTGCTCCCACAGTCCTAAACCACTGTGCACTATCCAGCATTCAAACAATAAAACTACAAAGTTTCCCTCTGTGGATATATGTAAAGAATAAAAAGAACTTCCAAAAGGGATGGGGAAAGTATTTAACAAAGGCGGTTCAGAGAAGAGCTGAAGCGTCAGTGTCAAAGAAGAGCTTGATGAAAAAGTTTGTTATAATGTATCTACAGATTAAGACATTTTTGAAGTCTGGATGAAAAAACTCAAGGGCAAAGTAACCAAAAGATTCCTATCAAAATTCTCAAGTTCATTTTCCGATTACTGCGTCAGAATACTTTTCCAGAATGGACAGCACACGGAACTGCTACTAGGAGTTCCTTTATGTTCATATTAAAGTCTAATGAGGTTATATCTACGTTGTCTGATAGTCCTCCTACTCCTGCTACACGTGTGCTGTCAACAGAGTTACACTCTGCCTCTTTTATTTCAAATGAATACTCCTTTTAGTCTCCAGGGATCTACAGCATAGAAGTTCCTTGAACTAGATGTACTTATTCTGTTTACAGCATGATTTCACATGGGGCAAGCATAGTGATGTTTCACGTTTAGAAATATCTAGTTATTTTGAAAACCTAGATGTTACAATATATTATTAAGAGATACAAAGGGATTTCAAAGGTACTTCAGTCTTGGACGTACACTGATTGCAGATACACCAACCATTCCCCAAACGAGACATTATCATATCTGGTCTGTTTAAACTAACCTAATCTAAACCCTCCTCCCACCACCCTGAGCATCATTAAACCAGACTCTTAAAGGGCGAAAGAAAGAAAAAGAAAAAAATTTAAAAAGCCTACACAGTGGCACAGCAATCCATCACATCCCAGCAGCTACAGCACGGGCTGTTTTGTTTACTGACAGGCTTTCCAAAGCAGTGCAACTTCAGCTCGGCGGTGGGACCCCGCACCTCGCTGAGGGGGTCTGGGCTGGCACAGGATGGGTGGGACCGTCCCCAGTGTGTCACCGACCGCCCTCAGTGTGTCACCTACTACATCCTTCCTCCACAGGGGAACGAGAGTCCCGGGGGGAAGCGGACACCACAGAATAGGGAAACGCAGAGCGTGGCTTCGGAAAAAGGAGCATTTGAGTTTTGCCTCCGAAATCGCAGGAAGCAAATCAGAGCCGTTTACAAGGATTGGATTCCGACCGTTTGGGGGGGGGTCTGTGAAAGATTTCCTCCGGTGAGAGGTAAAGTCAGCCTAAACGCTTTCAAATCTCCCATCCCACCGCGTCAGTCGTCAGGACAGGACACCCAGCACGGCGGTGCCGGGGCGGACGCGTGTGGCCCGGTTACGGGGCACCCGGGTCTCGCACCGAAACCGCGCGCCGGGCCAGCCCCGCCCGCCGCAGCCCGTCCGCCACCGAATCCCGGCTTGAGCCGCCTCGAACGCAGCCCGCCGTCATGTGCAAACGGGCTCGCGGCGGGTCCAAGAGAGCGCCGCGCGGCTGCGCGCCCGGGAGGCCCGCGCGGGCGGCCTGGAGGCTCCTCGGGTGGCCCCGCCAGAGCCGCCTTCCTCCCCTGCGCGGACGGAGCGCATGCCGCGCGGCGGCGCGCGGGAGGAGCCGCCACAGCGCGCCCCGCGCCGCGAAGGCCTGGGAAACGTGGCATCCGGGAACGGGCCCGGGCCGGGACCTCCCCGGCACGGATCGCCCCAGGGCCCGCCGCTGCTTGCCCTCACCCCTACCGTCTCCCGGGGTTCGGTGACCTCCTCCTTCTCCGAGATCTTCAGCAGCAGCCGGTCGTTTTCCAGCTCCAGCGCCCGCACACGGTCGATGTAAACGGCCAGGCGGTCATTGAGCTGCCGCAGCTCCTCCTTCTCCTGCAGCCGGGAGATGCGGTCTGCGACAGCGGGTCCCGGCCGGGGGTGCCGCGGCTCGGGTCCTGCATTGGCGCTGGGCTGGCGGGCTGGCGGCGGGCGGGCGGCAGCTCATTCAATCCGCCGCACCGGGGGAGGGAGCGCTAAGATGGCGGGCGGGCGGCCCTCCGCGCGTTCGCCCGCCTGGGACATGCTGTCTACGGCGCCAAGTGGCGCGGGCCGCAGCGCGCCCGCCATTTCGCTGCCCGCTCAGCTGAGTGGCGGCTCCGGTCGTCCTCCCTCAAGGACAGACCCGGGAGTGGGGCCGATCCTGAGGGGAAGAGGTTTTGGTGGCAATGCCGGGAGGGACCGGGACAACTGACAGGACAGGACTGAGCCTCGCCCGGCTCTGCTCCCGCTGGGGTCGCTTCCCGGGTCCGCCCGCGGGGCTCGGGCCTGTGGGGTGACGGGTTCCCTGACAGGCTGTGTTTGTGCGTTTTCACGGTAGTTCCCTAAAACATCGTCCACAGGCCCGTGTGGGCTGTGTGAGCTTGCCGTGCTTTGCTGCTGGCTCTGCACAGGTCAGCGACCGGCTGTGTGCTGAAATCGGGCGTGGAGAGTCTTGGAGAAAACACGGATCAGCGTTTCCCAAGGGCGAGTTTTTAGGAGAGCTGATCTGTCGGTTTCAAGAATTCAGTAACTTCTTCCTAAGTTTTACTGAGAGGGTGCAGTGCCTCCCGGTCTGGTCGTTCCAGAAGGAAGCTACCCTGAAATCCTTTTGCAGTCCCAGGGAATGCAGCCAAACTCTGTACACGTTAAAACCCACTGAGAAGTTTTCCCTTCCTGAAGATTTGGAGTAGTATTTTTCCCCAAGACCCCAAATTCTGTCAGTTCTTGCACGTTAACTGGTAGAAACTGGATTACCATTCCCAAAGCTCTTCCTGCTCTTGGGCCTTTTAGCTGCCAGGGAGGGCTGAGAAAAGGGAGATTTTTCTGCCTGAGAGGTACTAAAAACAGACTCGTCCATGTGGAGAGCAAAGAGAAAAAGTAAAATGAGCATGATGCAAAGGTGAGAGGACAGGTCTGGATAGAGAAACAAGAAAGACAGCAAGAAAATACTGCACACCACGTGAAAAGAAACTTAGGTAGCCAGGGTGAAAAAGCAGGTGTTTGTCCTCAAAACAGAACTAAAACGATGCTCATGTTAGAGGATTTGAGGTTCTAATAACAAGTACACCTCAAACTGAAAAAAACCTGAATAAATCCAGGAATTCTGGATGCTCAATACCCTTGTTGTCAAATAGCTGTAAGTCTCTCTTGCCATCACTGCCTATCTTTAGGGTAAATCACGGGTTTTTCACCTGAATGCATTTGTCTCAAAATGTGTATCCAGCACAAAAAGAGTTGTCCTGGCTCCTCTGCGTACAGCAGAGTGCCTGTCCCACCTCTCTGGGGATAGCACTGCCCCTTCACCTCCCGAGACCCAGGGCAGGGATTCCCTCCCCAGCCTGCGGAGCCGTGGGTGTCAGTGGGTTACCCGGAGGGGGTTTATGAGGGAGAGCTGAAATGGAAGCGAGATTTTGGGTTTTCCTTCTCCCCCACCGCCTGCGAATGGAGACCATCGCTTTCAAGATTGCCAAGCTGCATCGCTGGATCCAGTGGGCAGTGGCTATATACGTTTCTTTCTCACTCTCATCTTTTCTTTTTCCTTACTCTCCCTTACTCTTATCCTGTCTTTCTCTCCCCTATGCATTTTCTCCCCCCCCCCCAAAAGTTATCTCTATGTCACATTGTTATATGACAACACCCAAAATGCTGGCATACCTGTTGATACAGAATTGTTAAAATAAACCTTACCAATATACGTTTTCAGACACCGATTATTCAGTGTCGTTTCACTCTAATCCACCCCAAGGGAATTATTGATAAGAACCTGGGTTACCCTCCTCCCCTTTTTCTGGGACGGGTCGTAACATTTTTGGCAGAGACCCTGCCCTTTCCGAAGGCATGTCCACAACCTCCCTGCGCCAGGGTCTCTGCTGGCGGGGGTCTGATGCGCACCTTGGTGTGAAACTCAGCTTTCCGACAGAACCCAGGCTGCTTTTGGCTTGAATTCATCTGGAAAAGGAAGCGGCGACGAGAGACTACAAATCCCAGGGTGCTGCGGCCGCTGCTCGCGGGGCGCTCGGATCCTGCCCCATCCGCCCGCTGCCCTTTGTTGAGCCGCGCTCGGGGTTCGCGGCGAGCACCGCGCGGGGTTTGAATTTTGGCGCCTGTCTCCGGACTGTAACTGCTGCTGGGCCGGCTCCAGGCCCAGCCCCTGCCCCTGCCCCAGCTCCTGCCCCCGTCTCTTAGCAGCGCCGGCTTCCCCCGGGCAAACAACAACAACAACAAAAAAATGCCTCTGAGCATCAAGCCGTGCACTCAGAGTGAACGTTTCCCGTATGTAGTATCCGATTTCCAACACCAACAAATTCGTGGAAGACCAGCTATAAACTTCGGTTGTGTTGAGCCAGAAAAAAAATATTTTAGGAATGGTGAAAGCAAGCCTCTGTATAAGCATTTTTGGGTTAGGTCATTTCTTCTCTTGTGATTTGATGTGATGCTCTGTGCATCTGTCATATTTTAGAAATTCTTTAAACCTTTTGCCGATTTTTGATTGATAACGTAATCCAGATGTAAATCCTCTGTTCATGAAGTTTAGCCCAAGCTCCCCTATTGTTTTGTCTGTCAGATTTTGTAGATAATGGCTTAGAAACTTTGAATGTTTCAAGAGGTTTGGGTTTGTTTGGGGGTTTTTTGCCTTCTAATTTTACTGGATATTTTCATAGTGCTGCTTTTTACTGTGTTGAAGTAAAATATTTTTTTCCAAAATATACGTCCTGAAATATGCCTCAATAATAATAATACCTGGTTTTTTTCCCTGTACTTTCCAGAAAGTCCCTTTCTTTAGCAGTAACCAGAACACTTGCACACTTTCATCCTTGATGCCAGTTTCCCCTCCTTGTTACCTGAACATGTATGTTCACTTTTCCTATCTCTGCTAAAAAGAAGAGAATGTTTTGAGGGTGAGATGGGGAGAAGAAGCATCAGGGAAGAAAGGGAAGTGCAAAAGCTGAGAGCCCACTCACCAGCTGTGTTTTCCAGGGAGTGCAGCACATGCTTTAGTTGTGGAATTGGCATCTGTTCAAATATTGGTCCTCTTGGATGCCTCCTATGACAGGGATTTAATATTGGACCAGGGTCAGTGTGGTTACTCATCTCTCAATATTTAGCAATTAGTTTTTCATCAAAACCCTCGAGAATTCTTTGCTGCCCAAAACAATTTTATTTACAATAAATTCCTCCTGCTTTGACCAGTTGGAATGGATTTGTTATCACGAGACACAGTAATTTAGTGTTTGCCAAAGGGACAATCTAGGGATGTGTCAGCCCTACCTGGCTGGGGGAGCAGAGGGCTGTGGCAATCCCTGGGGCTGCTTTACTGGCCATTCAGATTGGGAACCTGCTCAGGGCACGCTGAGGCTCCTGCCTCACCCACTCTCCCAGGTTTTCCTGTTGTGGAAAGTGGAGCAGAGGAGGAGGCTGGTGCAGGTACAGGTCCCACCCTGATCCAAAGTCAGGAGCTTGGAAGAGCCCTGGGCTCAGTATTGAAGCTCTGGCTCAAAGGCACTTGCAACATATCTGACTGCCTGGGTAGGTTAAGAATAAATTTTTGGGATGTCAGACACAGACATCAGGGACAGGCTCTGTCTAGCACTGGAGTGCTTCTCCCATCAGGTAAATGAAGAAATTGGTTCCAGTATGTAAAAGACAAAGGAAAACCTTGTGCATCCTTTCATGCAGAGCACCTTCTTACTCGTTGACAAGTTTCCTGTACATTTGGGTGTGACTAGTTTCCTGATGCTATCTGGGATTTCGTAATGACTCTGGGATTTCATAATGACACTTTCACAGAACTGGGGATACAGGATTTCCACTGCTATTTCTTACCTCAGCTGCTTTGGTTTATCAGCAGCTGCTGCCATGCCCTCCCCCTTCTCATTCTACATTTTATATTTGTATGTCTTTAATAGCAGGATTATTTCTGTCTTTTCTGTAGCTGTCTAACTCTCCCCTCGTGTTCCTCCCCTCACTCAGAACAGCCAGACAATGTTTAATTGATTGTCTCAGATATTGTCATTAATTTCAGGAAGGGGCAAGGATTGCCTCAGAACATTTTCTTATCAGTCTGAACTCAAACTAGCCTCAGCATTACTGCTCAAAAAAATTGCTAGCAATGACTGCAAGTCTGGAAGAAGCACTCATACCTCACCACAGAGTTCTTCTCCAGAATTTCATCTTTCATTGAATAAAGTTGCTTCCAGCAATGTCAGAGCAGAAAGCACCAAAGCAAGTAGAGAAAATGAACAGTATGCCATGAGTCATGGATGAAACCTTCCTCATCCACTACAACAAAGTTTGCTGAGATGTAAAAAAGAGCAAAGAGGAACAAGGTGCACAGTTGTGGGGTTAAAGGATTAAGGACAAGGATTTTTTTCAAGACAAGACACCATGCTGTAGAGGGTGTATTTATCTCTGATTCCAGCACATAATGTTTTGCAGGAACTTTGAACAATAATAATCTTTTGCTACAGCATTTACCTCCTTATCAAGGCGGAAGTCAAGTTATATTACACTGGGGGGAGTATTAACCAGGTCTGGATGGAGAGAATTCCAGTCTGTACTTGGGATTGTTCACTCCTTTGTGGCAGGAAGGTGAGCAGTGGCCCTTTAGACTCTTGTACCGAAAGAAATGAGAATTTACTTCAAAATACATCTCATATATTCCCCCCATCTCAACAGAAAAGTGGCAAAGGAAGACGCTGGGGGCTCAGTACTCAGGGCTCCCCAGCTTTTCACAATTCCACTTTGTCATTTGTCCTCAGAGTGATTTGCTTATAACAGCACCTACTAAAAGCAGCCCCGTCTGTCACACGGGAGCGCCACGGAGGTTTCCTGCAGTTCGGCTCCTTCGCAGCCTCCCCCGGGGGCGCAGAGGACGCGTCGGGTGTGACCCACCGGCCTTCGGGGAGCATCACCTCCGAGTCTCACCCTCGCTGGCTCCCCAGAGTTCAGGAGTTATTCCAAAGTAACAGGGAGACAGATTTCTTGGCACTGAAATGCTGTGAAAACACCACTGAAAACAGATGAGCTGGCCAGGTAGGAAAAATCTCCCGGTTTCCTCCCCGTCAGGCTGTGGCAGCCTTTGGAGCCGGAGCCGTGGGCAGTGCAGAGCAGCTGCTGTTCAGAGCGGTGAACAGAAAAATTACTCTAAATCAAGCAAGGGATTATTCATATCACCTTTAATGAAATATTGGGCCAGTAGTCTCTAACACTGTGAGTTTTGCCTTTCAGAGCTGGATTTTACTGTAGTTGTACTTTCAGCGGTCCAAAGATAGAAGTGTCTCTGCAGCCT